CTGACGTGATCAGCCATGCGCCACTCTGGGTCATCCAGACGAGAGAGTGCCACGGGATCGACGTGGTCATGGACACCGAACATGCCGACGACGGTATCGAACTGGTGGCGCCCCTGCGAGTAGTTGCCGGCGAGGAGGTCAAGCGTGATGGGATGTGACGATGGATGTCGACGGTCTGGAGGATCGACGACAGGGGTCGGCGTGGCCGCGGGGCAGGCGGGGCGGGGAGAGCCGGTGCCGGAGCGGGTGTAGAGGTGGCGGGGGTGCCAGGAGCTGTAGCAGGAGCAGCAACGGCAGCCGAAGGGGGCGCATCAGCCAGAGGGACGGAATGGAGAACCTCGTCGTCGCCGGCGTGCGCCATGACGGCGGAAGCGGGATCGGAGACCTGCACGAATTGGTTGTGCAGGTCGGGAACGTCTGGTACCATGTTGGGAGAGGAGATTAGGAGAATGACACCACACTTTGATTATGCACAGGGAGGAGGTATATGTACAGCTTGGAGCGGCCTCTGCCTATTGGTGATCATGGGGTGACAACTACCTCAACGGGTGCCACTACTTGGCTGCACGATCTCTGACAGGGACGCGTACGCGAATACTATACAAGGCGCATACGCTATGGCAGGACTACATCATACAGTAGGCTAATAGGGAGGGGGAGGGCCTTATCCTGGGCGGGGCGTCGCCGGTGAGGTGGTCGAGGACGACCATGCCCTGTAGCGGCACGGTCAATGGTACAGGGATGAGGAGGTGACCGGAGGAGTGTGGGGACTGGGCTGGCTCGGTGTGGGCCGATGCCAGGGGGGCAGGGGGGCTCTCTCACATTTTCCTTTTTTAAAACAGTTTTTCTTCTTCTTTAAAAAAATAGTTTTATAAAGTATAAAACTTGCTTCTAAAATATTATTTTAATTTAGGCTACTGCCATTGTAAGTTTAGCATTTTTTATAAATTAAAAAGGCATTAAAATATTTGTTTTAACAATTGTTTTAATTAGTTTGGGGCATTAAGCACTTTTCAAAAATGTTGGTTAGCCACCAACATTATCAAATGATTATTTACAACTACTTGAACATTTTAGTATTGATGTTTGAGAAGTTTTGAATTTTGAGTTTAAATTTGGATTTAAATTTTAATTGTGTTTGAATGCAAATGAGGATTTGCAACAGTAAGAGTGATAACATGGCACCATCAACAGGGGATTTCTGTAGCATGATTCTCGAGGTGTTACACGTGGCCTGTTGATTTATTCGTCACATACGGTGTGTATTCATCATGGTTTTAAAAAACCCGCTATAGCACGCTATAGTATTTGAAAGAGGTCTTGCGCTAACAGTTTTTTGTCCAAACACATGAGAAAACAGTTTAAATAGCATGCTATAGCATCGCTATAGCATTTCGAAGGGGTTTGCCGCTAAGAGGCTTAGCGCCCTATTTAAAACTTGAGAGAAGTGCATATTTCAACCCTCAACTCTTCCCCTAGTCTAGTATACACCCCTCAACTTCAAAACCGTCTAATCTACAACCCCCAACTCTCAAAACCGTCTAAGATTCAACCCTGAGACCGGTTTTGAACCCATTGACCACTCAGCCAGCATGCCACATCAGCGACATTGTTCATAAATTCATTTTCTACCAAAAAATCAGGAAATTTCATTTTCTGGAAAATTCTCACGCGAACAGTACTGCTCCCGTGGCGAAAAAACGAAATGTTCCCGAATTCACTGCATACGCAGTGAATATTTTTTTTTGAAAAATTCCGTTTTCGCCGCGTGCACAGTAATTTCGGGATTTCGCTTTTCGCCGCGTGAACAGTACAGTCGAAATTTTTCGTTCCACTAGTACAGTCAAAATTTGTGCTGATACTTTTTATATTTTTTTCGAACTTTTCTGAGTTACTGTCCACAGGGCGAAAAATGATTTTTTTTTCTTGGAAAAACTGGAGTTATATATTTTTTTTTTGATTTTACTGTTCATGCAGGAATTTTCCATTGAAAATTGAATTTCTCAGTTTTTTGGGAAAAAAGTTTCAGAAAATAAATTTATGAACAGTGTCGCTGACGTGGCACGCTGACTGGGCAGTCAACGGGTTCAAAACCGGTCAACAGGGTCAAAACCGGTCTCAGGGTTGAATCTTAGATGGGTTTGAGAGTTAGGGGTTATAGATTAGACGGTTTTGAAGTTGAGGGGTGTATGTTAGACTAGGGCGAGAGTTAGGGGTTGAAATGTGCACTTCTCTCTTTAAAACTTTGGTATTCATCACATGATAACAATATATGCATGGGGTGTACGTCCTTGCTATTTCAGTTTTTGTGTTATTACAAATAAGAAATATGTACTTTTTTGTGTTATTACAGATAAGAAATATATACCCGTGTTGCTCCGACAGAGGAGGCTGAAAATTTTCAAAGCTAGCGACATACATATGTTTTGTCGAAGTCGGCTTGAAGGATCTCGATTCATTAGAAAACCAGAGCTCGCAGGTTAAGATATGGAAAATCGGACTAAAACTGTCACAGCAGAACACATCTATACCTAATCTCTACCTAATAATAATAAAGCACGACGAGTTTCTGTCGTCCGTCATTTTTATTTGCAAAAAAGTCCCTACAGTTTGTTGAAATCAACCCGCAATCCATCTTTTAAGTCATACCGAACCGTTTTTTTAGTTTTCTCAGAAAGCCCCCTGAGATTTTAGGTAATCAACCCGCCGTCCATATTTAAGTCAAACGAATCGTTTTTTTGTGTTTTAACAGAAAACCCCCTGACCTTTCGATTAATCAATCCGCTGTTTATCTAAAACAAAATTGTCCATATCTTTTAAATCGTAACTCCGATTTTAACATATTATATATGAAATTTGATTAGAAAAATATGTAGAATCCAAATATGTCGTTACTTTTAGCTGTTAAATATTTCTAAACTACTAATTTGATGCAAACTTAATCTATACTGCACAGTCTGTTTTTTTTTCGCACTGGCGGCGATCCAAATTGCAAATAAACACACATTAAAACCAGATTGAGAGGGAAAAAACATTGATAACCACGCATGCACAACTCTGAAAAACCTCGCGGGAAAAAACAACATTTTTCTCATGTTATTCTCAGCGATTGTGTGCGTGCGAGCGCACGTGTGTGTATGTTTATGTTTGTGTGTGTGTATGTGTGTGAGAGAGACGCCTTAGGACTGATCACATTCAAATGCGTTTTCGTTGTGTGAGCATTGAGACCACTGTCGGAAACACAAATGTGATGCCATTTTAAAATAAAGGACGTCTACATATCAAGGTCTCGAGTCGTGGTTATTGGGTTAAGAGCGTGTGTTTTTTTCAGTCCCGTTGCAACGCACGGGCTCTTTTGCTAGTAATAATAAAGCAAATTGGGTTTATTTCGTCCGTCATGACATTTTCAGAAAAGTCCCTCTATTTCAGTGAATTCAACCCGCAATCCGGATTTAAGTCACACCTGAATCGTTATTTTACATTTTCTGAAACCCCCCTGATGTTTTACGTAATTCATCCGTGGATCATATTTAAGTCAAACAATGTTTTTTTAAATCATCCATATCTGTTAAACCGCAACTCTGATTTAAACATGTTATATATGAAATTTGATTAGAAAAATATGTAGAATATGAATATGAGATTATTTTTACCTGTTAAGTATTTTTAAATATTACTTTGAAATATATTTAAGTCAAACAAATGATTTTCTAAATTATCCGTATCTTTTAAACCGTAACTTCGATTTTAACATATTATATATGAAATTTTATTAGAAAAATGTGTGGAATCTAAATATGATGTTAATTTAAATGTTGAATATTTTTAAAATATTGTTTTGGGAGCAAACTTATAATTTATAGAGTAAGATCCGTTTTCCTTTCGTATCATCGGTGATCCGGATTGCAAATAAACACCCCAATATAATAATATAGGGAAAAGTAAATATCGATAACTACACATGCATATCTCTGGAAACTGTCGTAGGGGAAAACAATAGATTTCTCATCGCGAGAGTGAGTGAGAGAGAGAGAGAGAGGGAGGGAGAGGGAGGAGAGAGGGGGAGAGAGGCCTTAACCATATTCAAACACGTTTTTGTTTTGTTTTGTGTGAACACCGAGGTCATCGCCGACGAGGGTAAAAAGGAGGATAAGTGGCAACACAAATACTATGCCTCGCAAAAATAAAGGAGATGGACCTATTGTGGTCTTGAGTGATGGTTCTTGGGTTAAGAGCGTGTGTTATGTTTTTTCTCCCGTTGCAACGCACGGGCTCTTTTGCTTGTACGATAACACCGATCGATCTGGTCAGCCACACAAAGATAGATAATTTGTATCTTTTTTTATCTTCTCTGTTTAGTGCTATGGGACTGTAATAGATAATTTATTCACTTTCTTCTAAAAATTCTACATGTTTATTTTCGAGATTTTGGCGTATGCCTCACAGCCGGATGACACCGTTCGGATGTTGAACTGTTGGACGTATTTGTCGAACCGGCCAATCTTGCTGGGCGATGATAAAATTTTCTTCTCTCCTGGTGCAACGCACGGACATGTTTGCTAGTGATAACTAATGCAATGTAGCACAATATTTGACCATCGGTACACATACTAGGTTTCTATGACTTCGATATTTAGCTGCCTTGAACTTTCAGCAGATAGATCATACCTTGCGGCACGCCTGCTTTCAAGTACTCATCACAAGCTCCATCCCCGATCCCAAGCGGAATTGTTGAGTGCTTTAATTAAGACCCGCTGTTTCTTTTGCTTCTAAAAGCGCGCGTGGCAAAAGGAAGCAAAGGGATTTAAGGCGTGCCATGTTGTCATGAATAGATCTAGAAGGTGATCGAGTAGACTAGGGTATAAACGAGGCAACTTTCCAATCCTTATATAGGAACATAATGAGTATAGATTGCGACGATTGTATTTGTACTCCAGAAAAGTGTCTAAAGTTTCAACTTTCATACAGTATCGCACTATCCGCCCTTGGTGACGCAACCGATGCATGCGTGGAGTGGCCACTGCTGCCCACCTCCACTCGGCCGGGCCACTGGTATAGTATATATACGCCCCTCCGCTATCCCTCTCTCTTGTGCACAACTCTTAAGGTTAAACACAGGAGCTATGGGGGATCCCATAACCTACAAAGACCGAAAGACGGATTTGACTGCAGTACCTCGTGGGGAAGTAACACCTTCAGAGCCATGTCAAGAGGATGAAGCACAAGAGAATCGGCGTAAGAATATCGAAGGTAAGCAGACAGGTTCTTGTAGTCGGCTTAGTGTTGACCTCTAGTTCCTTATCAAACCTTTTTGTTGACCGATGTAATCTACATCAAACATGCATCTCTCTGGATCTCTAAAAAATTCTTTGGGATTCACTACTCCGTCCATCCAGAAATATTTGACATTGAAGTGCATCAAAATAAATGTATCTAGAACTAAAATATGTGTAGATACATCAATATGATAAGTACAAATTGCATTTTTTTTGTGAATTGTTTGGATTGCTTACTACATGTGTCACGTGGTAATTGCATTTTTTTTAATATAGTTAGTCTGATACAATCGTATGTACACGCAGATTATGTCAAACAGCTGAGCCCAAAACTTCTGGATGATTTCAAAAGAACATTCCCGCAGAAACGTCTCGATGATTTTGAAAAAACATGCCTGCAGCGTAACAATTCAAGTGATCCAATTTGCTTGGAAGAATGTAAAATCACATTGGTCGCTACCCTTGTTCTGAAGGGCGTTCCCCAGGTGAGCTGGCCCCCGTCCTCACTTAGTGACAAGTGATATGTATAATGGTCGAACCTATATATTCCACTGAAAACATTTTCCTTGACTATAAGAACGATGCAACAGTTAACTAATAATGCTCTGTTTTGTTTGCAGCATGTGAAAGAACAATATGAGTTGAGGCTTACGTCAGGAGAAGTGCGTATCATCAAGAAGCTGGAAAATGTACCCCTCACTCACCTATCCGGGGATCAGAGCATGACCGAGGACCGTACTCATACTTCACCGGAAACATCAGTCCATACCGCAAATAATACAAAGGAAGCGACACGTAAGGATACCCTTCTTCCGCTATCTCCTACTCTTTTCAACTTAATTATTGCAGATGAGTTTACTTCTATTTATTGAAAGCTGCTGATATCTTTCAGCATCTTCCCACACGAGGGACTCACCAACGGTTTCCCCGACTGCTGTCAGCACCACGGTCGGCCTGTCTCATCTCTCGTTGTCATAGGGCCATGGAGATGTGGTGGATCCCTGTCCTTGCCGGTGGGAGGGCTCCTGCTTCATTTTTAAGTGTGTTTTTAGTCTGTTTAGGGTTTGTGTCCTGCTCAAATCGACGAGACAGTGGTGACTTTCTGAAGTTGGAATAAGGTTCTCCCCGCATAGCCCCCGTTCTTACGGTGCAACTAGTGCCATGGGAGGGCGGGTCGATATTTATCTCCTGCGGATCTCGCAGGTTTCAGGCGGTGCTCATCTTTCATGGATCCACTTGTATCCACTCTTCATTTGTGTGTTTTCAGATTGAATCTTTTTTTATCTATGCTTCTCTTTATCGGCGACGGTTGTTGTTCTTGTGCGCTAGTCCTATTGGGCCTTACCAATTATGCCAATGATCCAACAAAAAACAATATGTAGTAAAATTTTAATATTTTTACGATTACACTTATAAATTATCATGAATTATATTAGTGTTTATTCATAAACCTATTATCATTGACTTATTGTATGTCGCAAGTTGATTGTATCATATCACATAATATCGACTAGTTTTCTTAAGCAGTATATGTCGCTATTACTCGTCTCAGTTCCGAATCAAGTAAACATCGAATATGCATCCGTATTCGAGTAATATCAGATCCACATCCATATCCGGTAACATCCGTAATAGAATTCTTTTTCATTTTGAAAATATGAAAATGGATGTGGTAAGAGCACTATCCGATTCACATGCGGTAATTTTCCACCCTTAATATTAACTAATAGTCGTTGACCGTGGAGTACTTCTCAATCCATTAGCAAGGACTATATCATTTAGCAAGCTTAAAACTTAAGTAACATGTATATGAGATTTGTTTAGCTTCCTGAACACCAGGCAGGAAGAGCAGCCCTATACCAAGTGTAGCCAAGTTCTAGTGTCATTTTCTACTTAGTTGGACATATCACTTCCAAAAATCATAAAAAAAATCAAGCAAGAAAATGGATGCGCTAACACACAACAACTTTCACCTTACTTTCTCAAAAAAACCCTATGAATATCAAGAAAGAAAACAGATGTGCTAACGCGCAACAAGTTTTGCGCTAGTTGCTCAATCCATTGCATGCTTCTCTTCTGTGTTGCACAAGTGATGATTTCCTATCTGATCTGATGGAAGGAAGTGAGGTGGAAAGTGTTGCCGTGTCAAAACGAGATCGTGTGGGAGTTTGCTCTTCTTCGACACTATCGAAAATCATGCATTTCGATGGATGCATGGACATTCAAAATGAAGGACGCTTTCAGAGGTGAAGGCCATGGGGAGATATATTTTTATGATCCATGGGTCTCTGATTGGTAAATCGTGTCCAAGCTCCCTACAAGATTTGGTTTAACTGTCATAGATCACTACTAGGGAAAAGCCTATACACAGAATCTTACCAGCAGCGCTCCTCAAAAT